TGCATTTGCAAGCAGCTTTAATTGAGTAGAGTTTTTCATTACTCTTTTTTCTTGCTCCTGTTTTTAAATGCAAATGTTAATGTTTGGTTAGCATGGGTTCAGAATTAAGCCCCTGCTACCTGTGGCTGCCTCCTTCCCTAGGTTCTAAATAAGCACCAGTGGAGTATCAGGACCTGCTGAGAGCTTGTGAGTACTGGAAGGCTGGAGTCCAGCTAATTGCCAGTCATGCTGAGAGGGCTGAGCAGAGCCTTGTCTCACTTACCAGCTCTCATGGAGTCCTGCTTCCTACCAGCACGAAGGAGAGAAAATTAATGTACAAGGTAGAGAAAGGGAGGTGGGGAAATGGCTGCTTTTTGGAATTAGGTTCTAGACTCTTGCCATCACAATTTTGTAGACTTGATGCCATCAGAGGCCATCAGGTTTGAGTCCTCAAAATTGAAATCTCTGACTGGGGTTGTTGTCAGATCTCTGCTTGAATACTCCTCCAGATGGAGGGAGGCCTGTTCCTTCACTAGGCAGCCCTTTGCACTGATAACTATTTGTTAGAAAAGGTATACTTAACATTGAGCCATCTCCAGCCAATGGCTTCTGTTTTCTCATAGAAAGCAGTTGATCTCATTTCCAAAAGACAATCTTATAGCTATTTAGAGGCAGCGCTTACAGAGCCTCAACTGCCTTTTCTTCTACAAGCTAAAGGTTCCCAGTTTCTTCAAATCTGTTACATATCTCACTTTTCATCCATCCTGCTCCTCTTCCCATTGTGGATCCAGGTTATCTGACTTCCATAAAGCAGGAACTCTGGGAATCTGCTAATCCAACTATGGACTGACCAGCACAGTGTAGAATGGGGCTGCCCATCTCCTTCCCATTCATTAGAGCTCTACCCACTTACGAAGTCTGCCCAAGATGCTGTAGACTTGCTAAGTGGCTATGTCGTATTATCCATCCTGTCTACACTTACAGCTAATGCCAGCCCCAAGCTCTTTCTTAAGACGATGTCTTTTAGCTGAGTAAACAATGTATAATTCAACCCTTAGCTAGGGACCACTGAGTTCCTCATTTAGTGACAAAGAAAACATTTTCTTCTAAAGTGTCAGATTGAGCTCTAATCCAGTGAGAAAATCTCACAGGGGATATAAAAATATCATAGAGCATATGTTTACAGTGTGTCCAGTTTTCTCTTTTAGAAATCATAAGCCTGGATGCTCAGAAATCTTAGCAAGGGACCACGGTGATGGTACATGGGTGAGTTGGAGGTGGGAATTTCTCGGAGACTATAACCGAGATAAGAAAGCATACATTGTACAAAAATGAAGAATGGTATAAAAAATATATAAAATAAAAGAAAGAAAGAAATCTTAGCAAGGGGAGTGTCCTAGAAATCTATGTGTCCCACTTGCCTTGAGCCTGCAGTACATGATTTTGGTAGTGAAGAGGAGTCAAATCTGAAACCTGAGTCTAAAAGAAATGAATCAGAGAAGGAACATCTGGAAGTGAACTACTTTTGGGAAAGAGGTTACAGTGGCTTTAACGTAGAGGGCCCAGGACTGTTAAAGACTGTGTGATTAGGAGGGGAGAGATAAAGGAGACAAGAGAGCAAAGAAGCTGTAACCAATAGCAATTCCTATTTTACTCTAGGTGGAGTGCCATCCCATCACCATAACAACCCAGATGAAACCAGATGCGGTATTTGTAAGAGACAGGAGGAGCAACCTGTCACTGTGACCTTTGTGCCTGATTCAGAGATGTTTGTCTTCCGAGATCTCACCTAATTCTATATTTTTTTCTGGACTCTGGACATAATGCATTATAAAAGAGCCTCAGAAAAGCCCCATCTGAATTTGGCCTTTCTGACATCTTATTAGCAAGGATATTTCTCTTAGATTCATATGTGAGCTCCCCCATATCTATAGCCAAGAGATAAGATGAATACTAACGTTGTGTAAATTCTGCACATTAAACAGTGGAAAGATGTAGGATCCATGCTGTCTGTTTTTGACTGGACCCTACACATACATACACGCACAGTGTGCAGAAATATTCTGAGGCTCTCCCAAGTGGTTTTTTTTTTTTTTTAATTTTTTTTTTTAATAGAGGCATGTTTATTTATTTATTTATTTTTTGTTTTGTTTGTTTGTTTTGTTTATACATGCACTGGGTACAGTCAGAAGCGCAGGAGGGTGAGAGAATTCACCAGAGCCAGAGCGGGGAGCAGAGCAGGCAGAAGGACTGAAGGACACTGCTGAGGGGAGCAGCGGGCGGCAGGAGAGGTCTGCGCGCCATGTGGGACCCTCCTCTGGTGGCCGGGGAGCAGCCGGGGATCGAACCGGCGCCGCAGAGGCCGCGGGCAGCTTCGCAACCCAGCGCTCAACCACTGCGCCACCGGGGAGGCCCACTCCCAAGTGGTTTTAACCATAGATAAGGAAATGGAGGATGCTGAGGCACTGACAACATTGTGAATAAAGGGAGTTAAACACTGGATCTTTACACAACTGCCCAGGACAATTTGAACCAATTCCATGGTATATAGCCTTTTATTTTCATCATCTAAACACTCCTTTTGCTAAAATAAATACATTCAGGGTATATTGACTTTCTGTAGTAATGGATGGGAGGGCATTTTATTTTTATCACTATTTCTGAACCCTCATTGTAGATACCATTCATGGTTCTGGCCCTGATATTCTTGAATGATTCCATTTGCGGTTCGAAATTTGAACTTTCAGAGACTGCTGCCTGTTGCAGGGAAGAGTTCTTGTGCTGGGATGAGGTTTGTGAATAGAAATGCTGTGGATAGGCCCGACATGGAAAGGAAACAGAAAAATAGTGGTGCTTGTAAGTGGAGAAGAGAAAGGAATAATCAGAGGAGCATAAAGCCTCCTTTTTGTGTTTTAATCTACCTCCAAATTTTCTGGGTAAATTACTTCATTGAGTCCTTACAATAACCTGTGAAATATAATAGGCATTTTTCATTTAAAAAAAAAAAAAACTTGTTGAAAAACATAAAATGACTCTCTGAATTAGCAGTGGCTAGAAATTGGACCGGCACGCAGGACTCCTCCCCACAAATCCTGCACTCTTTTTTCTACTTTTCCTTGAGTTGAAAGTCTAAAAGGGTGACCTGGTTAAAAAAAAAAAAAAATCTATGGGTAAGTGCTGGATACTCTCAGTTAGCTTGGAAAAGAATCTTCACTAAAATCCCAGAGTAGGGGCCTCCCTGGTGGCACAGCAGTTAAAGACACAGCTCTGTCAAGCTGCCACCAGCCACTGCAACATGAATTTGATCCCTGGCCAGGGAGCTAACCCACAGGCACAGCAGACCTCTCCTGTCGTGCCTACTGCTCCCCTCAGCAGTGTATTTCAGTAGATCTGCCTGTTCTGCTCCCCACTCTGTCTCCGGTGAATCCTCTCACCCCCCAGGCCCCAGGCCTACACCCTAGTTCTTATCTGCATAAATAAATAAGTCTTAAAAAAATTATTTAAAATCCCAGAGTAAAGCTGCTCTCAAGGGCTGGATTTTAGCTGATCTTATTGGTTCAACTACAATTTCTTGACTGCTAAGTGAGTCCAAGTCACTGGAGAAATGGAAATGAATCAAACATGGCTCTTGCCTTCAGAAAAGCCAGTTTGGAGAAACACAGATGACTTGCATGAATCATTATACACAACCTAGGGTCACATATATGAAATGCAAAAGAAGTAAGTATATAGACAATCAAGTAGGAGTCCTGAGGTAAATGAGACTAGGAAGAGCAATGAGAATCAGGAAGGTTTCCTGTGCATGGAGGTTGGGAGAGAAAATTTAAGGGACAGGAGAAGTTGTGAATAAAGATTCTGAACTAAGAATATTGAAATGTATTTATGATGAAGGAGTCTAATCCACCCAGAGCATGGCATGCCAGGGAGAGGTAGAAAGACTATCCTCTAGTTCCCCTTAACTTGTTTGATTTTAAAATCTTTTATAAGGTGACTTACCCCTCTGTGCCCTCTACATGTATTCCAAACCAATGGGTAAAGAGCTAAGTGGAAAGATGAATAAATTCATATTTTAAAAATCACTGCAAAATGGCCTCCACAATCATGTCATGAAAAAGAAATACACTTGACTGCCTTGCTCTAATTTAATGGACTCTGCCAGAGGCCTCTTCGTTGAAAAGTTATAGACAAATGGCCTTGTCTCAGGATGCTGTGGTGTGGTGACATCTGCAATGGTGCACTAGGAGTGATTTCATCATTTATTTCCAATGCCCCAGCCAAGGCACCAAATTAAGCCATGCACACAGTGGGATGCATTGTTTCTGGGCTGGTGGTTTATCATAATGGGAAATGAGAACAATTAAAATTAGAAAAAATAATCAAAAGCAATTTCTAAGGAATAAAACAAGTCTGATACGTCCTCCAGAGCCACAAACTGATCAGTTAAACTAATTAATTAATTCAGTAAAGTTACAGTATATAAAACCAACATGCCAAACTCATTGAGAGGATATTTCATATTAAATGTTCTTATCATAATCATAATCATCATAATAAAGATTATATACATGCAAGCCCCTTCTCTCTGGACCTCAGTTTTCTTATCTATAAAATGAGCAAACTGGACTTAGTGATGCTAGTTCCAAATGTTAACCTAAGATGTTTTTTCCATGTTGGCTCCATGTGCTTAAAAGAGAAATAGCACTAAAAGGGTATACTGGCCAGCTCTTAAGTGAAACTTTTAAATATCTAATATGAATTAAAAGGAGCAAAATTTTCTCCTTTGTTTTTTATTATTTCTCCCCAAATTAAAATAACGCTGCTAGAAGCAGGAAAGCCACCCACAATCTCATTCCCTATACCGCTGTTAACATTTGATATTTCATTCAGAACTGTTTGTGTTAGGTTTTGTTTGTTTCTAGTTAAACTCATACTGTGTGTGTATAATCTGGGGTCCTATTTTTGGTTATTTTTTTTCATTGATCCAACCAACAACCATCAATTGATAATATTTTTTGTATTAGGTGTGATGCTACATATTAAGGAAGCAAAGATGAACAAGACAGAACCCTAGTTCTAAAGAATCTCATAGTCTGGATGAGAAAATAGGTAAGTAACCCAATAATTACAGTCTAATGTAATAAATTCTTCAGGAGGGGCATGTAGTCCAGTGGAAGCAGAAAGACTTCTCAGAGTGCAATTTGCAAAATCTTAAGTTATAACACATATGACTTAGCACAGGGATGCTCAGCAAAACACATTTCATAGTCACCTTTGAAGTCAATTTGGGTGAATAACTAAATTATGGCCACTGAAGTGTGCTTGGATGTAATATATTTATATCTGCTGAATCCTTCCCTATCCCTTTAGTCCTTCATTGTCGGCTCTGATGGAAGGTGCTGGTGGGACCAGTAGCAACCTTAGACAATCTTAGATGTAAGCTGCTTAGTGGGGATAGTAAAGCAAAAGGATGAGAGGAATCAGGGTTCCTATACCAGTCCTGAATTGCTTACACTTAGATTGCTGCATTAGGGAGAAAATAAAAGAATCTACTTTGTTTAGAAGCCACTGTAACATTCGTGTCTTTGTTACAAAGCTGGAAACTCTATACTTGTTAGTACAGATGGCAGGAGATGGGGTTTAGTGAAGTAGACAGAGACGGGGGTGTCAGAGACAGAGGAGCTAGTAAGACATTCTCAGATGTTTGAACTTTATTCTGAAAGCTTGGGAGAGCCATTGAAGAGTTTTAGACAGGACAGTGCCATGATCTAGATTGTATTTTTGGAAAATTACTCTGGCTGCTGCATGAAGAATAGATTGAGGCAGGTAAGAATGGAGAAAAAGAGAACTATTAGTAGGGCATGGCCATCATGTTGATGCATGAAGTTAGTAGAGAAACCAAGGCATTGGAAAGTTACTGAAGGTATTGAAGAAGCACCAACATGTTTAGGATCACCGGATGTGACAGTGAGAAAGAGGAAAACAAATGTCCATGGTTCTTACTTGGATTCACTAACAGGAGGCACAAAAGGTAGATCATGGTTTGAGGGTGGGTTGACCTTGGGGATAAAAAGCTCAATTTTGGATATGTTGAGTTTGAATTCCTTTAGGCCATTCAGATGGAGGTATCCAGTAGGAGGCTGGCTCTATAGACCTAGCATTCTTTCAGGATAGCTGAGCTAGAGTTACAGATTTGGGAATCATCAGGATGTAAATGATAGCCAAAGACATGGAAGCAAAAGAATCCATCAGGGAGACAGCCAGATAGAAAACAAAGCGCCGGTGGGCAGAGCCAATATCTAAGGAGAGGGAGAGGAAGAGGAGCCTGCATACGAACCTGCACAAAGAACCCCCAGAAAGGCAGAGAAGTTTGTATTCCCAAGACCAAGGGAACGTGGCAGTGTAGATGACAGAGGCCTGACATGCCAAATAATGCAGAGGCCAATTAAGCCAGGAACACTGAGCATGGTGTTCTGTGAGCTCAGCGTTTACTCAATACATGTTGGAGTGAATTGCTAATTGGTAAGCCACTAAATTGATGCTGTTGTTTTTAACTTAATTATTTGCTCTGTTTTGGTTTTCATTAGAAACAGCACATCTAAATTGTATTTGTTGAGACAAAGTGGTAAGCCCTGCTCATGTTAATTCTTGTTTCTTAGGTTAAATAATGGACTTAAAACTTAAAAAAATAAAATCTTTGTTGTTTTGAGTGACTATAAAGATTCTCTATTCACAAAAGAAAATTTGACAAATATAGACAAGAAGAATATGAAGGCCATGCCAGGTAAGGCAGATGGAGGCTGGTGGCTACTTCCTTTGGTCACGGTCATAGTTCCTGGAAGCCACGCCAGGGAACAGAACTTGGAAGTTAATGGGGCAGCTAAGAACAACTGATTTTCCTTTGTATGGGTCAGGGATGCCTCTGAGAATCTGATAAAATCTTTGGACCTTCTCCGCAGGAGAATATCTGTAGCATTTATGCATACAATTTTGCTTTGGATTTTGATGATACCTGGAGAGATATGGGGACTTCCAAGCTCAGCAGGAATTGTTTCCATAGAGAGCCAGCCCCCTCTGCCCCCCAGCTCATAAGCGGCCCTTCCAGATGTGCCCTTCCAGACCTCTTGCCTGGGCCTGGCCTTCCCCCTCTACTTGCGGAGTATAGACATGCTGGTCTCATTCGATGCCCTGACTTTTATCCACCACCAGCCACCACTGGACTTGGGACCAAGGGTCAGTTCAGCAAGGGCAACTATGGCAGTTGCCTGTGACTCTCAGCAGCTTCTTACAGGGGAAAAAGCACTGGGTTTGGGAGAAGAAGATGTGGGTTTCAGTTTCATCTCCCCTTATTCACTGCCTGATCTTGAATAAGTCACTCCCTACTCTGAGGCATCTTTGTCACATAGGAATACCATGGTGGCCCTATCTGCCTCACCGAATAGAAATTCAGTGAGTTACCAGATGTGCTTTATAAAGTGAAAAATATGACAAATACGAGGGCTTATACAGAGTCATTAAAGTGACTAATATTCATTGAGAATTTACTATGTGCTCCCCTTACACGAAGTACTTTATCTTCATCTCATTTCATTTCCACAAAAGCTCTATGGGGTCATTACTCATTGTTTTGCCTTATGGAAAAAAAATAAAGAAGGCTCAGAGTAGTTAAGTAACTTGCCCGGACCTATCACTTGGTGAGTGGTGGGGCTGGAATTCACAAAGGCTAAGGAAATGGCTGTGCTGTAGCAGTTGGGCCTTACGAGAGATGAGGATCAAGCGTGCAGGGAGGAAACCCTTTGTGGGTGCTTTTAACCTATCAGGTCCTTCACCATTTGCCTTGGGGCATTCCTGAGTAGGTGGCGCATGTTTCAGCCAAGGCAGACCTCAACAATAGTGCCCGTGCTGTACCATGTTATGCCATCAGTAGGTATTAGGTTAGAATCATAGCGCGGTAACGCCCATTGTACAACAAGAAATCCGAGGCTCAGAGAAACTAAATGAGCTGGCCAAGAATATTTACTGGTCAGTAAATAGCAGAGCTGGACTTGGTATTTGAGTGTTTGGTGACTTGAAATCCATGCACTTTCTACTGCCACACACTGCCTCTTGTAGAAAAAAAAGCTGGTGTATATTTTCCTTAGATCCTCTACCCTTCAATCACACCCCAGGGCCTGGAAGTTCCAGGATCTGTGGTCCTTAAGCACTGCCTGCTACACTCTTTGGAGTCACTATGCCAAATCCCCAGATTCAAGAATTGGTACCATCCTGATTAGACATTTATTGGCCAGATTCCTTGTCTGTCAATGTGCCAGCTGATAGCTGACAGGCACAAGCCTCCAGCCCTGGGGACTGTCTGGTTTGAACAGCGAGCCGTCCTGTTAGCGGCTGGCTGGCCCCACAGCCAAGCCCGGAAGGCTGGAGGGGAGGGTTGGAGGGATCGCCAGATGACGGGTAGGAGACAGCGAGTCTGCACAGGGCGTAGAGAGGCTTTCTCTCCAGCTCTGGTTTTATTTATGCATCATTTAGGCCCCAACAACTTCCCAAAATAATTTGACGTGGCTAATGGCTAAGGTTTATCTAGTGTTTCAGTTTACAGAGCACAGCTATTTAGTGATCTGAGTCATGGAAACATCTCTGGAGTGGTGATATAACTTCCATTATACAGATGAAGAACATTGAGGTTAGGTAGGCAAATAATCTATCCAAGGCCACATAAATGTATAACCATCAGGGCTGAAGCTCAAATCTAAGGCTTCAGACTCTACAGTTGTATTTCCACCCTGCAATGCTGCTTTCTAATGAAGTATCCATTGGAGATGGGGTGGGAAGTGCTTGAATAGAGGTGGAGGGTCTGCACCAAGGCTGAAGTCAGTGTGGGGGCTGGTAGCCAGGTAGAGACATGTCTGACTTCCCCTAGCATTCCTTCCTGGGATGCTGGACCCTAATGGCTTGACCAGGTGCTGCTCCAGCGTCCTCTGAGGGCCTTGCTTTGGCCAAGTGTCCTCTAAGCCGATAGTTTGTTAGCTAAGTTGGAAAATATAGCCTGCCTAGATAGCTTTAACAGAGGCCTGTGGGAGCATGGCGCCTCAGGAGACTAAGAGTCCTTAGGGGCTGCTTTTGCCTGGGGTTCTGAACAGTGTGAATTCTGAACAGCCTTGCTCTCTCCTCCTGCCTGCCTTGTTTGAGATTAAGTCCTTTTTCCTAAGCTGGAGTCAGGAAGAGAGGATTAAAAGTCACTGGGTCTTATCCTTAATCTTAGACAGATAGGGAAACTGAGGCTTATAGAAATGACAGCATATATTTCCTACACCAATCTTGTAAGATACTGTGTTTATAAATGGTATTGCCAAAGTCTCTGGGCCATCGGCCCAAGCTCTTGGCCTTGGCCTTGCTATTGCTTGCACCCTAAATAGACTTATAATGGTCTAACTGCATGTGCAGCTCTAGTCAGATCTTTGACTGGCCTTGACTTGACTTGACTGGTATGACAGCCCTGTTTGTAGATCCAGTCTGCTGTATTCTCATCAGAGGCAAGGGTTCATCCCAGCCAAGTTGCCAGAATCCCAGTGCAAAGTAGCCATCTATCTTTGACCTCTCCTGTTCCAGGAGCTAGTGAATGAGAGAATGAGATCAGCGTTAGTGAACACAGACTCCTGGGATGGGAAATCCATTCCTCCAAAGCCTTCAGATCCTTCATATTGGGGCAAGACACAGTGGTTTCACTGTAAGTAATCATCTCAGATCCTTGGAGCAGTGTATCACAGTCCTTTCAAATGAGTGTGTGTTCTGCTCATATTTCTCCATTTGTTTTTGAATGGGTCAGGGTAAACCCCATGTGAAGTCAAATGCACTTTAGTTCTCTTAAATATAAATGACTGCAAGGAAGAATCAGGGATCACACTTCACAAAGGTGTTGCAAGTTTTTTTAATATCCTTCTCTGAAAACTAGAAGAAAATGGTCTAAAATGAAAAAATATGAATGTATCTTGCAGAACATGCTATAAAATGGAATGCTGATTTCATTCTCAATATATAAAAAAAAATCCTCCAAAGTGGTAACAAGTGCTGGAAAAGAAAGAACTGATTATGTTGTTAGGAAATTTTATTTT